GAATCACGGTTTACATTGTTAACACTTCTTATTATGAATTTCGTCAGGATGGATTTCAAATGTCAATATTCATTTTATGAATTTTCGGGAAGTACTTCTCTTAAATCCATGAAGAAAACTCTGAAAATTGCACTCAAAATTATAGAGTGCCATTGCACTGTCTTTCTAAATAAAATGAGAATTGTTTGCATGAAACATTGAATTTCAAAAATTTATTTGGTGTGAATTTTTTCAGTTCAGCTTCATTAAAATAATTTCTATCTATTTAGATTTTCCAACATCTTGAATGTTTTATATTATTTTTGTGGTTAGATTGGCCATTTTCAAAAATCTTGAAGTCTCCTATTTTTGATTTTTTTCTACACTAATTTGATGAGCCCAATAAAAATTTAGATACCGATTAATATTATTAACCTAAGTTTGCGCTGGTCAGGCCCTATGTTTTAAAACCCCGGTACATTCAGGAGAGCGTGCCAGCATTATCAATCAACGACAACTCCCCACACCGTAGGATAAGTGGTCATTGTGTCCGAGAACCATGTGCCCTGAGTAAGCGCAATGAGCCAATAATACATTTGTCCGGCTAAGATTTCAGTTTTAGTACGGCAAGCCGGCATGATCTTGAGATCTTGAGAGTAAAGAGGCCATCATTCCACCAAGGGATCGGAACAACCATCTTGACAGAGTGGTCTGGATAGAGTGTGTGGAGTTCGAAAAGAAAATCTTGATATTTTATCCGATTTTCCTTCTCTTTTTTAGACGATATTCGTCAAGCCAGGAGCTGAAACCTCCACGAACAATATCGCCTTGCTCTGGTGGTCGAAAAGGACTATAGCAGGCTTATTAGCTTGCATGAGCCTGACGGTGGGGAACGAATAGTTTCAATAAATTCGGCATTTCTCGTTTCCCATAACGGATTTAATATCGCACGGAGCGTGTGGCAGCACCAGTGTTTCGTAAATACCGTAATAGTGCCGTAGGTGGTAATGAAGCACTCTTATGGCCGCGTTATGTCGATGGATATAGGCTAAAACCGCATATGCTCGACATGCTGACTGCAAGTGCATCAGGGTCACGGACGCCTCGCGGCAGGCCCTACACCTTGTACCAGGAACCTCCATACATCACGCGAAAGCAATGACTTACGTTATCTGACACACCTACTTATAGGTCACTGAAAGTATGAATCATGAAATAAAGAGATTTGGACTTTTGGAAGACGGTGCAAGCCCGTCTCTGTTTGGAAGGTGATGAAAAAGCTGGTACATCTTCTGTGCGGCGGGCTGACCAAATCAGGTTTTAATTATTTGTCAGAGTTTCATTCTTACATTTGTCCTGAAATATCACTCACCCAATAAGATAGATCGGCTTCATTGAGAAACTGGACTAGATTTGGACGAGTTCGAATTGATTTGAGCCGCAATAAACCGTCGCGGGTTGAAGTGGACTTACTCACTTTAGATCTATCTACTTCCGTATTTGTTATTTTATGTTTGAAAAGTTGAATAAAAATGAAGTCTGTGTTAATTACATAATGCTTTTTGATTTTATTATTCGTCTATGAGCTAATGCACAATGAGACAAATTTCAGCGTGATAAATTATAGCCAGTGTACATAGGGTCTCAGATAAGACTACCAGAATAACCTTGTATTGGTTATTAGTTGGGCGGTTTGAAGTGGGTGCTTTTTTCACTCTCTCAATCGACCGCTGTGTGAGTCGGTGGTTCAAGCCGCAGACTGAACGTTCAGGTTTCACTTGCTATCATCCAACCCGTGTTAGGAATCACAAGTTAGAAGGTAAGACCTCGTTAATCCTTAGTTCGCACAAGTTTCTTCTTCTGAGGGTTGTCGTTCATAGGGGTGCGACAGCTGGTTAACCGAAAAACCATATTTTAACATATTCAACTGATATCTAATTCTGACCTGAACAGCTATTGCATACTATTTGAGTTTGTACCAAATCAGAGACTAGTGTGATAATATATTCAAAAAGCAATAATAGGGGAGCCCAAGCGGGGATTTAAGGATTTACTAAATCGCGGCAGATTAATATACAGGGGGATACCTGTATTATTTTTTTCTTTTCACTTTTAACCCTTACGTACAATCACCCACATCATGCAAACGATCAGATTAACATACCAACATTATTAAAAATACGTAGGATATTGATGCTATCAATATTTGACGCGCTCGAGTATGTCCATGCAACAGTATTTTTTAACATATTTAAAAATCTATAAAGCCGCTTCCCCTACCGATGAAAAGGTATATATTATATAACATTTTTTTCTTCTTATCATCTAAGCTTTGCAACCTAATATGTCTCAATTACGTTCGAGTAAATCCCCATTTTACATAGTGGGCTTCCCTGCTTCAAGGTCTGAAATTCCTGAATACAAAAATGGTATTTTATTCATGAAGTTTCCGACATGAGACTTTGATGGTGCACGCTCCACCTTTAGTAATAAAACTCAACATATATTTAAGGAATTCCCGCTGAACTGGTTTGATGGTAATTCCTTAGAGAGAAGCAAACAAAAAACAATTCGGAATAGCTATCATGGTTCGCCAAACAACGAGATCTTGGAATTCACAGATAGTGCAGTCACTACAGAATTTCATCTGTCAGTTATTATTAGGGTGTTTCAAAAGTTTTGTCCGTTTTTATGAGTCTATTATGAACTTTAAAATCTCAGTGAATACTCATTCAATTTAATCGAAATGAGCGCCATTTCAATCAGTGCACTTTTGCCAACATAACGCAAGTCAATCAATACCGTCAGAATAAAAATTGTATGCTTGGGATTCAATGAAGTCGACAAAAGCCGTTTTTGCTTGGTCCTGATTGGCAAAGGTTCTACCGGTGAAAAAGTTATCGAAGTGCTTGAAAAGATGATAGTCGGTTGGCGAGAGGTCTTGGGAGTATAGTTGGTGAGTCAGAACTTAGACGCACAATTCGTTCGATTTTCAGACTGATTTGTGAAACGCGCGGACGGGCGTTGTCGTAGAGCAGGATCAGATCTCTTCTGTTGACCAGTGCCGGCTGTTGCTGACGCAATTTTCGGTAGATTTCATCGGTATCCTGACAATAGGACTCTGCTGTGATGGTTTAGCCTGGTTGCAGATAGTTATAGTTAATCACACCAGCCGCAGACCACCATACAGTAACCATGGTATTTTTTTAGTGGATTTTCGCTTTTGGAAAGTGCATGGGTGGCTCATCGATGTCCAACTACTGTCCTGAACATATCCTGTTGTAGAGGATCCACTTTTCATCACACGTGACGAACCGATCCAAAGAAGGATCGTTTTGGTTGCACAAAAGCAAAGAAGAACATACCTCAAAATGTGACAATTTCTTTCGATCGTTGAATTCGTTGAGCACCCACTTTTCGATTTTTTTGACCTTTCCAATATGTTTTAAAACATCAAAAACGCATGGGCGTTAACGCCCAGTTCATTCGCCATCTCACACATCGTTTGTGATGAGCCAGTCTCCACCTGGGTCCTCAAATCCTCGTCCTGGATTACTACTAAAGGTCGACCACTTCGGGGCTCATCCTCGAGGCTGAAACGTATGGCAGTGCGAAGACTTTAGCAATATTAAATCTTATCTATTTAGGTCTGTTCATTTTATCTTTTATCTGCGGTGATTGTGAGTCATTATCATGGAAATTGAAAAATGATATTCTTTCAGCATTATTTAATTTTTGCTGTGCAGGAAACAGGATATGACCAATCATTTTGCTCTTGAAAAGACTATGCTGTGAATCACAGTAACTTAAATGAAAACAATTCATATTCATCGTATTTATATAATATTCATATTACATATTGAAAAGTGAAAAATGAAAAGTTTGGTGGAGTTTTCATTTAATTAGGATCTGCGGTTCCTAATAAAAAATTTTACGAAAAATATATTTTTTTTTCAAAAAAAATGAGAAAACTATTTGTGATGAACCGTTTATCTGGGAAGTATTAGCGAACATGTAATTTTTTTAAGGATAAAACACAAGCACAACAGGAAAATTCTTAAGGCGCTATTAGAGCGGTGCTTGTGCGAAAGTAGTGATCCACATTGAATTTGAATGGCTGGAGATTATATCCATTTGGAAAAACGTTCTCAGGAAGTTTATTCCACATAAACTTCGTTCTCCAAATGAAAGAGTTCTTAAACAGTGAAGTTCGAGGTGTACTGAGTTGAACCTCAAAACGATGAGTAGCTACAATCCGTCGCGTATTTCTGGTATATACCGATCTTAGTGGAATCAAATGTGACAAGTCACTTGAACACCTCCCGTGAAAGTATCAATAGAGAGACAAATCTCCAACCTTTCTTCTATGTTCCAGACTAGCAAGGTTGCACATGATGTTCGTGTCTTCAATCAAGCGGATAACTCTTTTCTGGATGGAATCCAGCAGCTTCAGGGTATGTTTGGAGGCGGAACTATATAAATATATATAAAATTCAAGCAACTCATGGATAATTGGTGCTCAAATTTGAAAAAAAGATTGGTGTCGAGTTCTGTTATTGTCTTTATCATGAGATTTTCTCTAAACAGTTCACAAAATCGCAATACGTGTTTCTTTTTACAAAAGCTACTTCAGGCGTGTTCAACACATTTTGTATTGATGAAGTCATGCTATATACTAAGATCTTTCTATCTTTTGTGGTTAGCTTTAGACCAAGACAACAAGTACTGTATTGAAAGTGAATAATGAAATCTAGTTTCATTTGTGATATGCACTGACTGGAGTGACTGTTTTCATAACATTATTCAGATTTAACAAATGAAATAGAGGCATTCAGAAGGTTTTTTATTCGTCGGGCGCAGTGGACGCCACATCTTTAAAAGACAAATCAGTCAACTAAACCTCGTTCTTCGAGTTTTAGCATTGTGGATATTCGTTTTGGCGTTAATGATACCTATACTAGATATCTTCAGAAAATAATCGGATTTTTTTAAAATACATTAATAATCCCCATTAGATATTATGCCCATTAGATATTATGCACCTGTGACAACGCTTCTTCCGACAGGGATAGCCTGTAGCTCTTTCGGCGATGCGATTTTGATGTTTTTAAAACGACTACCCTTTGAGGTTCTCTTTATTCTTGAAGAAGCGTTTTTGATGCTTTCAAAACGACGACCCTTGGAGGTTTCCTTTATTTTTGAAAACAGGGAAAAGTCACAAGGAACTATGTCTGCTGAATATGGACGCTGGGGCAATGTAACACAATGTCACGAATAGAAATGAAGTGTGAGTAGGTACAAAAGCCATAAATTGTTTTTTCACAAATCCAGGCATTTTCTTCGGATTGATTCACGCAAACTGCGTTGAACTTGTAGATAATAATCCCTATTGATCGTTTAATTTTGTGGCAAAAATTCATGATGCACCATGTCACGATTAACCGTTCTTGTCGAGCCTTTTTTGATCTTGGCGAGCCAGAATGCCCCCACTGGGATGATTAAACCTTAGTTTCGACGTCATGTCAGTAAACTCGCGTTTCGTCACCTGTTGTAACACGTTTCAGTGATTTCATACCCAAAGCACACAAAAAAATTGATGGCATGTCCCAATCGATATTCCAGCATCATCAGCGAGTTATCTGATTATGATTAGGCGATCGTCCATAACTATTTCTTTCACTTTTTTCAAGTTTCCATCAGTTTTGTTGTGCCTGGGCTCCCGGGGTGTTCGTCTTCTTCAACGTCTTCACGGCCTTCTTGGAAACGCTTATACCACTCGTAAAATCTTGTTTTACTCATAGCAGACTCACCATAGGCCTTTGTTAACATTTCACACACTTCGTAATATAAGCACGTCTAACCTTAGCGGCTGCTACAGATAAAGTAATCAGAAAATATAGCTGAAACTTTGATCATACTTCAGGAGCTCGTATACCATAATAAAAAAAATGACAATCGGACTATGCAAACCCATAATATTTAAAAATTTCCGTTATTTTCTGAACTGAACTGAACTGTGGGTATGTGTGCATACTAGTCAAAATTTAGAAATGAAGCGTAAATTATATTATTAAGTGTTCCTACTTCCATTGATTTCGTCTCAGCAAAAAATGATCTCTATCAGAAAGGAAAACTAAACGTAGGTAGTATCACGACAGAAATTATTGATGTTTTCTTATATCATAAGAAGGACACAACACACTATAGTCATTTTGTACAAACAAAGCTTGCTAGTTAGAACTATCAGACGAATTAGGGTGGACATTTTTTTAGCTGTCTTTAAGGCATCCCTTCATGTAGGGAACCTGTTAGACGAATTACGGTGGACATTTTTTTAGCTGTCTTTAAGGCATTCCTTCATGTAGGGAACCTGTTAGGTTTAACTGTGCGCCGGTACGGTATTTATTATGGAAGGATTATTATACAGCGCAGATTACCAACGCATCATCCATTCCGGGTCCACTTTGTACGCCCCTTAGTCCCTAAGATGGCAGAGCCATTATTGCTGGAAGGGGAGAAAAGGCATGTTTGCTCTTGTTCGATTTAACTGCTAGCATAAAGAGCGATTTTTGGGTCTCCTACGTAACATATCCGATACCTTCAATGCCAGGATGGATATTAATCGACTTTAACCTACAACTTCCGTTCTATCAATAACCATTGAACCACATAACAGTTTCTTCATACTGCGAACCACAAGCTCCACTGAACAGCATAAGAATGTAGAAAAATCGATTGCGTTTATTTTAATGAATTAAATCAGAGAGATTTCAGAAATGGGCAATGTTTGTCCCATCAACGATAGATTTTCTTTCCATTATACCATGTGAACAAGATTGATTGAAATATTATGTTTTTAGATTTTGTTGTATAATGACTAGTACCAGTACTTCCAATAACAATATATTACATTACAATTATATGATTTTTACACAATTCTTTAATTACTTACTATTATTCAATGATTAAAAATATAAGCATAGGTATAAGCACCAGTGAAACTGTTAACAAATCTTCTATTCTCATAACTTCAATTTTCAGATACGGGAGAGGTGCCGCGAACTTGTTTTGGACAACGATAAGCTACGCAAAATCATGGAAGTGTTTTTGAATAATGTTCACAGAGGGTTGAGAAAAGATACTCATCCTACTTCAATCGTCAAATGTTTCCCCACCTATGTTCAAGATTTACCTAATGGCACAGGTGAGTTTCATAATTTCATTAGGAATTAATACTTTCTTGAAATATTTCCTCACAAAATATTGTTATAACATTGATAAGTTTGCAATACATGATAGTTCTTACGATATGAGTGTATCACTGAAATTAAATATTGAGGTCAACTTGGAAATTCTACGAGAATTCTTGGAATAATTAGATAATTCCTGATTCTACTGTTGTGAAGAGACCACAAAAGACGTTAATTTTATCGTCGTAGTCTTTTTCATTATTGGATCAGTTTTATGATGGGTAGATATGGGTAGTACGGCTTTGAATTTTGATGAAAATACCACATCTGGAAGCTTACAAAATTTACTTTCTAATGATAGTCATAAAGTTTGTAGAAGAAAAGTTCAATGTGAATTTTTATATGCAATGTAACACTACACTATACTTCCAAAATAGTATAGTCACTGAACTCTCAGAAATGACTGTGAAGTTTTTGCCTTAATCTGTCTCTTGCGGTGGCGTACAGAAATTATACTAAACATTTGAGGAAAAATGATGATAAAATATATAGAATCATAACCTTATATTTATATACAATACATGATTTTGCAACCTAAATCATGAGTTTGGAGTTTACATTTTAAGAATGATTCTGTATGAAGTCTTTGAATCCATCACGCTTCAGCCGTTTCTGCATGGTCGGTGACTACGAAAAGTACAGCAGAAGGCTTTTATCAAGGTTGCAGGTACCACTCCTGCAGCTATATGGGGTCTTTTTTATTAATTTTTGAAGACCTCGTCGTTTGCAAAAAGCTGTCATTTGCCTTGCTCAGTTCATATTGACTTTTGACGTAGAATTGGGTGTGTTTTATGGTTTGATACGATGGTGTCTCCAACATCACTACTGATAGAATGGTTAGTATGACTGCAGAAATATTGGCTCGAAAATGCAGAATGCTGCTATTCTCGGGGTATATGATTTTCAGCACTCACCCCCGGTGTGGAGAAGATTTATTAGGTAATGATGCCTGCTTCACCACAGATTACATTAAAAAAATTGATGTAGAATGGGATTTTCTTCAACCAGCTGTCGTCCCTTTACGAACTGCAATCTTCAAAAATGGAAACTTGTACGAGCTGAGAATTAACGAGATCTCAACTTTCAACTAGCGATTTCTAATTCGGGAAGCCGCTAGACTTAACCACCGTTCAGAAGAATTGGTATCAGTGCAATTCCTATCACACACTTGTCTTAGAAGGAGACTAGAAAAAAGGGATACACGGAATAAATTGGCATTCAAACCCAGAGATAATTCTTGGTTGCCAGTAGCCGCATTTGAACCCATGACCGAATGCTTGAATTGGCCATCAAACACCTGACTACAACGAGCATTTCGGTTAGCTTACATCTATATTAAAACAAGTAATATGTGGTAAAAATTATAAGCTTTACTTGAGAGAGATACCACTCGAATACAAGGAATCATTTTCAAATGTTGACTGTAGAAACACAGAAAAAACTGACCTGGGAGTGCAACAAATTCAAAAAGCTATCTTGTCAGTCTGGTAAATTGGGGAAATTATGAGCCTGTCATACATTGAGAGCTGTATTTCATGGAAAACCATACTAGAATATTGAAAATTCATGTTCGATAACACTGATATCGATATATCTCATTTATGAAAGATAATGACGCTTAATGCCATACTCCCGTTAAGACTGAACTAATTCAACTACTTCACTAGATCACTTTGGCCTTTGTAGTAGCACAGTCTGATTATCCTAGTTTATCCGACAAACGTAAGAACTACAGTTCTGCATTTCTTTCTCAAAGTTACTATTCAAAGTCTTCCTATTTTGAATCGTTTTTTCTTCTCTATGTGTGTTTATAGTATAATTTCTAAACTTTCGTAACGAATTTCCATGAATTCTTTCACCTAAGTTTAATTTTTTTTTATTTCCAAAAAAAAGAATTTATTTTTCAATACTGTCATATTGTATATCAAATTGCTGAAGCTGAAGAAAATGACACTAATTGCACTTTCTGGATGAATTAGAATCTGAGATAACGGATTGTAAAAGACTTGAAGCTTAGTCAAAATTTCGATATTTTTACACCATCCCAAATAAAATTAGGTATGGCTAATTGTTATTAATGACAGCCAATTTTTCTCTCTCTCTCTCACACACACACTCACACACACATTTTTGACTTTCCATAACATAACAACTAAATTCTCTAAAAAAAAGGAAATTTTTGCTTTTTAATATTATTTTGGTAGTAATAGCAAACCAAAAATTGTAAGTCATGATTCACAATTATTTTTCAATTGGTTCATTTAATTTGGAATGGTCTACTTTCATTCTTCATATTATGTAATTTCATGAATCGCCTGATGGTTATTTCATGCATGGTAAAATAGGTAGTATAGTATTCAACGATTGAGAAATGGGGAAATTACTTTCCTGAGTAGAATACTATACTTTTTCTAGGACTTATGACAGGAATATTTTAAAATGAGATTTATTTGTGAAAAATATCTTGAATCAGTTATTGAGTGACGAACTTTTGAAAAATACCAATTTTTTCACCACATTACAAATTTCTAGTGGGCTACACTCATTTTCACTTTCCAAGTCTATGCTTTTATTCTTGTTTAGAAACTATACAATTCAAAAAGAAAGTTCAATGATTAAAGCTTGATGTTAGAGAACATATTTTGAAGTAGGAACGTTCAAAGGCTCACTCGCGATTGAAAATAATTGAAAGACAATGAATTTTCTCATTTGTGATTGGCCTCAAGGTAGTGAGTCATGAATCTGGTGTTCGAAGCTGTAAGTTATTAAACAATTTGGCTATTTACCCTACAAGAAACGAGTCATGGAAAAAGTTACTGAATTGCATATGCCCATGAATTTAATTTAAAAAATTCATTAAAAGAATTACATTTCAGGATTTCTCAATATCAGTCATGGCTATACTAAATGATTCAACCGGTACCTTAATGTCATGTGCTTGGTTGAACCGCCAATGCCGAATTGGCGCAATTGTTGGTGAGTTTCCAGCAATGAAATAAAGCCTTAACTAACATAAAATTTGCATGAATGGTGATATTTGATAAACATACCTTATAGTGCACTTTTGGAATGGGGGGTTTATTCATGCTGAATTTACCCAAAGATTAATGTTATGTTATTATCTTTCCATAACTCTATACATTGATGTGTAGATCATGCAAAGAAGTAACTTTCAGACACGAACTGGAAGAAAAAGCCCTCCTGAAATAGCTACTTTCATGAAACATTGAATTACACAAAAAAAATTCTTTTGAAACAAATACTTTCATATGAACATTGAATTATACAAAAAAACACATTTCTCTACTCAGTTTGTATTCCAAACATTCGTTAAGGAATTTTATCAGACATCATTCACAGGATTCCCACACACTATTATACTAAATGAAAGGTAAAAAATTTCACTTTTGAAATTAATAGCTTATTCCTTCCTTCATTCCTTCCTTTCTTTGAAAGATTCACACCTTTTATATCACGATGGAGTAGTAGAAAGTTAAATATTTATCTTTCCAAAATGTATATCACAATCGTAATCAGAGACACGTTTATATATGAAAAACACTGAAAGTTAGAATTCAGTTTTTAGCATGAATTTTAATATTTCCCTGAGCCTAACTTTATTAAATGTTTCTATTTTTTTTATATTTTGATATTTACCCGACAGTTAGCTGCTATAAAACTACTGCTTCTCCGTCAATATAAGTTATTTATGCATGCTCTTTTCTCTTTATTTATAGGATATACAAATTGAAATTTGTGCTATTTTAAATGACACTACCGGAACGCTAATGTCATGTGCTTGGAAAAATCACAATACAAGGATTGGGCTCATAGTTGGTAGGTGCAGTTTTTTTTAACCCTATAAACATTAGAAGGTTAAATGTTTTGTGTTAATTTTGAACTGCCAATCAACATTTTGCCACGAAATTGAATCATATTTTTTCTTTTAATTCATGTTGGTTGATCATGTTCCTACTTTTACACCCATTACTTCACTAAAATTCGATTGATCATATGTATTTTAATACCATCAGTCATCAAAATATATAACCAAATTTATTCATGGCGAACCATTGTATTCATTTTATAGCATGATGCTTCGCATGTTGCATGAAGTTATGTGATATGAACATATCATACTTTGTATGCAGTCAACACCCTCTTATAGAAACTTAAAACGATCCTCAATTCTAACCACACTATGTAGAATTAAAAAAAACATTGAAAAAATATGGGTTCAAAAATAATAAAAATGTTTCTTAGATGTGAATGGATGACTTATTACTTTTAAATATATAATTTACAAAATGGTTAAAACTGATACACACTTGAAATCACTAGATAAATGTAAATCTTATTTTTTTCAAAACCGAATAAAACTTTTCAATGTTTTTTTACTATTCTAACCTACTAAAATAGGAGATATACATTCTTATTCAGCATTCCGAGAAATTTAACTGAATGTTTCGAAACTTTTGATTGCCTGTAATAGTGTTAACTTGGTTATTTATTTTATATAGGCACTGGAAGCAATGCATGTTATGTTGAAAAACAAGAAAATGCCGAAACTTGGAACGATGTGGATATGGGATCTGGAAATGTTCTAATTAACTTAGAATGGGGTGCTTTCGGAGATGACGGAGCTTTAGATTTTGTTCGGACTGAATATGACGAGGATATTGATAGAAATTCTGTAAACCCTTCAAAACAAAAGTGAGTAATTATTATATCTTAAAAAGAAACTGAATCTGACACCTATCATTTTAGCAAGTTTTTATTTTTATACCAACTTCCATCAGTTATTACATATATTTATTACAAAATACTGAAAGGTGGATATCATTAAATTTGTATATCTTTACTGAATATGTACTGTCAATATAGACACTCTAAAAGTCAAAATTCAAATGTTTAGTGAAAAAACTAAAATTCATTAAAACTCCACCAAATTTCTATTGCTTTCGACTGTGTTGATCACAACCGCTAATGTCCAAGTTGTACAGTTGTGGTGTTAGAGGCGTTTGTTGATGATGAATTGAAACCTTCATTATAGCAAAATATCATGTGATTGTTCAACATTTCGAAAGTAGTTTTATCTAGAGCCCCAAGGGCTCAATATTAGATCCTGTTAATTTTGTATGTCATCAGTAACAAAAGTTATTCCTGGAATAGAATTCATAAATATTCATAAATAAGCATAACATCATCAGTGAAAATCGATTCGGCTTCCAGAATAATAAAAATACGCACGATGCTATTTTCTCATTTCTGAATAAAGTTTATTCTGAGATAGATGTCGGTGAAAAGACTGCCGCAGTATTGTGACCTGTCAAAGGCATATGACTGCGTTGATCACAAAATACTGCTGAGAAAGCTCCAACGTTATGGATGCAGAGGAGTAACTCACAAATGGTTCGATTCCTACTTAATGGGACGGACGCAAATGGTCAAAACAACTCAACTTTAATAAAACAGGGAAAATCAATTCTGGAGTTCCACAAGGTTCTGTGTTAGGTCCCATTCTTTTCTTATTATATATTAATGACCTCACCAAGCTAATATATCTGGGAAGTTCACCTTATTTGCAGATGACACTACCATACTTTGGAATAATAAAAACACTTATGAGTTGCACAAAATAATCTCTGCCGACTTGGAAAAAGTTAAAGATCGGTGTGATTCAAACATTTTATCTTTTATCTTAAATAAAACAAATTTATTATCATTTAGATGTTCAATCAACGAACTTTTTTTGAAGACAGATCACTGGAATCTAAAAATAACACAAAATTTCTAAGAGTCTTCATTGACCAGAATTTTAAATTTGTGGATCATGTTAACCAACTTACTAGAAAAGTCTCCTCTGGCTGTTATGCGGTTAGAGTGATTTATAAAGAATTGGGGTTCAGCACTGCACTCATAGATTCTCACTTACCCTACGGAATACCGTTTTGGGGAGCATGCAGTCCAATTTCATTCAAAAGTCTTCTAATTTTACAGAAAAGGATGATAAGGTATATAGGAAACCTTAAACCAAGAGACTCCTGTAGAACCTTCTTCAAAAAACATAATATTCTAACGGTAACTGCATTATTTATACTGGAATCTGTGTATTCAATAAATAAGCATATATTGAATTTTGCTGCATCCTCTTCCCATTATAACACCCGAAACTGCAGACACACTCTGAAACTCACTGTGCCAACTAAAAACATTATCAGAGACTCCATATTTTACAACGGTGGAAAAATGTACAATCATTTGCCTATGGACATATCTGCCAATATAAATGACTTCCATGATATAAATGACTTCAGAAAGTTAGTCAAACAATTTCTATCTGATAGACCCTATTATACTTTGGATGAATATTTTAACGATAGCTTTTAACTGACTTACGCATATTTTTTATCTTTATTTATTAAGGAGCTCTTAAGTTGTTACTTTTTATGCCTACTCTAACTTGACTTTTACTCTTTTATATATACATATCTTTTATATCCTCCATTTTAACATAGTTTGTACCCATGCACCATTTATATTTTTATTTCAGCTGGTATGTATTACATTTTTTTAAGTATGTACTACCCAAGCTTTGTCTACAAGATTATGTCTCATGATTAACCTGTGCTGATGGCACATCACTATTAATATTCCATAAAAATAATTATACCTCAAAAAAACGATGTGAAGATACGTTAACAAAACAGATCTCCCGGTTCCACCAACTTTTTTTTAATACAATTCCAGTAGAACTGATATGTGAAGATTTCATCGAGAATGGCAAGATTCATTCATGCTGTGAGTCATGTAAATTTCTGGACATGCACATGGACGCAAATTGAACTGGAAAAAGAACATTGTAGTCACCTCATTTCTAAGATGGCAACCTTGTTGTATATGGTTAGGAGTCTCAAAAGTGCCAGAATCAATTATTGAATCTTCTCTTTACCCAGCTCAAAAGCAGGCTGAAGTATGGAATATGCCTGTGTGGAGATTCTGTATTTGCTTGGGAAGTTTTTTTAGTTCAATAAAAATCAGACATTATCGAAAAAAACTCAATATTTTTACATTAACAGGCATACATATTTAAGAAATTTGTGTCTTTTCAAAAACAGAAACTTTTTCATTACAAACCATCATAAAAAGAGTACTCTTCCCAGAAAAAATTACATTTACCAGCATCCAGAATTGTTATGTCTTATAAAGTTTCATCTAGAGTTGGCGAAACAAGTTACCTGACTTCTCAAGGTGCTGAGACCTGAGAGCATCTTCAAGTTCAAACTATAACAATTTATAGAAAAGGCTCGTCCAAATATGACATTCCGAATCCAAATAACACTTGATACTTATGCTAGCATACATAAATGTTATCTACCCTCCTATCGGAGTAGTTTCCTCTTGTAAATTTTTTTATATTATTCTACTGACCAATGTCTTCCCATTGAAATATTTTGAATAAACTTCATAATTTTACATCTCTTATTGCTAATATCACTGAGAAAAGTTGAATTTACTATCTTCAGAGCTAGTTTAGTGATTTTTCATTAAATTCACTGACTAAGGCCTTCCTATTATAAGGGTGTATTGTATTATGTATAGTGCATTATTATCATGTATAATTCATGTGAGTTTTTTAATGTTATTCTCAATATGGAGATCCTCTTTGGGTGTTGTTTTTCTGATCAGCAAAGTATTTTCTCCCGATTATGACCCTTTATTAGGTATATTTGTAATAATATAATATTGTAGTAATATCTCTTTTTTATTACAGGCAAGAAAAAATGATATCTGGAATGTACATGGGCGAAATAGTAAGGTTGGCTCTTGAGAGATTCACGAAAGATGGACTTTTATTTGGAGGAAAAGGATCCGACATGTTATTCGAAAGAGGGAGGTTCTATACAAAATATGTATCAGAAATTGAAAGTGATCCTCCAGGTGTATTCAACAACCTCAGGGATATATGTGAAGAATTAGGTAAACCAAAAAAAATCTCTTGCAAGTTTTTATCCAAACTAGAAGGTCAACCTGAACACACTATTTGAAATGTTCAATCTGATCACTATTGATTGATACTAATCAAAATAATTGAAATAAGAATCACGGTGGAAAACTTCATCACAGTATGGTCCTAAATTTAATCACCTTGTTATTATTGGAGTTTTTATTTTTTTCCTGTTTCATTTCTTTTATCATCTTCTGTTTTATAAAAAATGCTTATATACTTCTAAATCGTCAAAATTTACGATACTAGAGTGATTCAAAACCCATTATGGATGCCAAATTCACACCAAATATCCCCAAAAACTGAACGCTTGAGCAGGAATTTTTGGTAACCATATTGTATATTACTGGAGTTTTTTCCCAGCACCAAACCGTTACTTTAACACCTTGACACGTGTTTCGATCACCAAGTGATCATCTTCAAGAAGAAGATCAAACAGTTTGATCTTACCAACACTTTCCTGTTAGATCTTCGATTGCCAAATTGGGTAGTTTTTCTACACGAGGGGTTCCGCCTCATTGCTTAGCACCAATGTGACAGTTCCTTGATAATAACTTTCCAGAACAATGGATTAGAAGTAGAGATTCTACAGAATGGTCACTAAGATCCCTTGATTTGACTCCACTGAACTTTTTTCTATGTGGATGGTTGAAATTAAAAGTACACAAGATCTGCTGTAAATAATTCACAGAAACTACCAGGTGTTCTGGCTACTAACACCTGATTTTTCGGATGTAAGGGAGGAAACAGAAGCTCATTTATATCATTGTATGCCAGTTAATGGTGGTCTAATATTTGATAAAATAACTTTTTTAATTTAACTTCACGTTTTAATTTGAAATTAAATGAAACCAAAAATTTTTTTCTGATACTGCTCATCGTTGCAATGTCAAAAATGTTACAGGGTTGGATACAAAATTGAAAGACATTTCAAATAAGGCTTCATTCAACTGTATTCCCATTTGAAATTTTTGGCATGTGGGTTGTTATGGAGAGCAGGTTGATTTTTACGTGCTGACGTGTTTCACGATTTTTTACAGTTTCAATACCAAATGACTTCTCCGTTGGGTGACGTTTCAACTAGTATGGAGGTTATATAATAGATGCATATTAATAACACCTAAATAATTGTACTTTTATACTGCCAGTACTTCAACAACTATACAGAAAATGCAGTAGTATAATGAGCGTATACATATTTCACTTTTTCTATATTGTCAAAATAATGGATTTTTGAAGGAGTACAAAATAAACGAATTAATCACTGATTCTAATAACTTCAGTATATATTTGCAGCAACATAATGTTCCCCATGCATCATCACAAAACTGCTATTTATAATAAGGCACGTACAAAAACACTATTTTTTAAATTATTTATAGTATTTCAGCATTCAATTTGTAGCGTATTTAGCATTTAAAAACTAATTCAGGTGATGTTAGTTGAGGTATAAATTGTAATCAAACAATTGATGAACTTTGTTGTTGATTTCAGAATGAATATGTTTTCAGTAACAGCAACATGATCAAACTTGGGATAAAGACATGCATCAGAAGAAGTTGCATCCAATATGAGTTGCACTGGTAACCTATAATAGTATGAATCACAGCCACAACCTCTTAATTTAGTTTCAATGAGAGCTGTTTAATATTTTGCTATTTATTTGAGTAGGTTTACCTGAATTACTAGAAATGCCCTCTTATAACATTTCAATATGTCTAATAATCGTGGTCAAATTGTGGTTCCTAAAGATGTATATTAGGATCTGAATCACTTTATTTTCTACTGATCTCAAAAATCACTATGTTCCCGAAGTAAAATTGTGTCCTAGATACTTTTTGTGTAATCTGATCCATAATACAGTTAATTCGAACGAGCTCTTTTCATTCTAGAAGCCAGAAATAATAAATATTGTCATTTGAATTTCCTCCATGTTATTTTCCCTGTCTTCATCAATATGAAAAACTCAATTAGAGATGTCATCAGCATCCTCAGGTCTATTTCACATGTTTTGGCATGTTCTCTTCTTGAATGGATATCTCTTTCCAAGATTGATGATCTGAGAGTTTTTGAGTCATGTACACTTTTTTCCACATTGGGCCTCTGACTGAGAGAAGCGCAATGTTGGCCAAGAGATCTTATTGGAGTTTTATGAATGTGGCTGAGGTGTGTACAACTTTACAGTTCGAAATAGTGTTTCAAGTTTTTGAAAAGCAAACTTAGCTATTGCAGTATCTGATTGTGAGATATATGTATCTTTCTATGTAGCCATTAGTTAATGCCGATTTTGTATTCACTATCGATACATATGCTTTGGTAATAGAGCTAACGGTGATAAAAAATTTAATATTGTAATCTTATAAAATCTTCAGTTTCAAGTGCAAGCAGCTTTTGGACAACCAATATGCTGAGTGTATATACAATTTTACCTTTATGAAAAAATGCCTGTACACTCTTATGTTACTTGAGAAGTGATATTTTAACATGAATAACATACATTTTCTTTCTTCGAAAATATCTTCATATTTTGTTCATTAACACTCTACAAAAGGAGTTTGTTAGGAGTGTTGAATTTATCTACTTTAAGGTGTTGGATCCAATTTTGATCAAAAATAGCATCTTAACTAATTTGAATAAGTAAAACTAGCTATACTAAAGTTATTTGTATTATTTATTTTACCAACTGTAGTGTTTTTGTTATAAACACCTGGAAGCCATCTGACTTGTTTTCCAAGTCTCTGAGGCTTACTGGTTTTTCCCTTCTTTTTCATGACAATCCATTCGAACAATCTTGTTCCCTGTACTAGTTTGCTGTACATATATTATTTTATTCTTTTGGATATAATTTGGATTGTTGTCTCCTATGATCCAGTGCCTTACATTCACATAAAATGTGACAAGCTGTCTCTCTCCCTTTGTTGCATTGCCTGCAGCTAAGATCTTCGTTGCACTCTATTATTTTGTTCAGGTGTCCTCTCAGTGGGCGATGGGCAGTGTCCAGTGAGTAGCCCTGTAATTGTTCTGAGCTGATTGAAGGAGAATTCAAGAACACTTCAATTCTCTCAGGCGGTCCCTTTATAAAGGTTTTTCCCTGTGTTCCCGGGTATGTTTCCCCAATGGTTTTTATGTTTCTTACTGGAAGCCATCTGACTTGTTTTCCAAGTCTCTGAGGCTTACTGGTTTTTCCCTTCTTTTTCATGACAATCCATTCGAACAATCTTGTTCCCTGTACTAGTTTGCTGTACATATATTATTTTATTCTTTTGGATATAATTTGGATTGTTGTCTCCTATGATCCAGTGCCTGCAGCTAAGATCTCCATTGTAATCTATTATTTTGTTCAGGTGTCCTCTCAATGGGCCATGGGCAGTGTCCAAAGAGTAGCCCTGTAATTGTTCTGAGCTGATTGAAGGAGAATTGAAGAACACTTCAATTCTCTCAGGCGGTCCCTTTATAAAGGTTTTCCCCTGTGTTCCCGGGTATGTTTCCCCAATGGTTTTTATGTTTCTTATAGACTTCCTTCCCAATCAGGTTGTGTACCAAAGATTATGGTCCCCCATAACTGGTTCAGGGCCTATACATAAGAGTTGAGAATCCGTGTCGGCATACTCATCAACTTTTTGGTTGATTGTGGTAGTCAGTTTATATTGCCTTCTGTTAGTTTCTTTAGTTCTCAAGGGCATTCCCAGATCAGTTTCAAAGTCACTTTTGAGATTAAGTGCCGTCTTTATGTGAATATATTGATCCGCTCAATTCGTTGCGGCCTCAAATGTTTTTTTCTTGTGCATTGTAAGATTCTCGCTCTATTAAAGTAAAGAAGGAAGATTCAAGTGTCTTCAATGCAGCTATTGGACTGGTTTTCATTGCTCCCATTATTCCCAACATATAACTCTGCAGCCTGCTCAGTTGTCAATAGCGGTGGTTTGTTTCGTCTTTGGCCACCAGTCCATATAATATGCATATATCGTCATAGATTTAACTACTGTCATGTAGAGCCAATACATCATCTCAGTATGAAGCCTTCTCTATTGACATGCCTTATGTATCAGATATTGGTCTCGATGAAGTGGCCTGGTAGCCAATGCTGTGTCGCTAATATGCTTGTCAAGCAGTTTTTCTAATTTATTTATTGCAAAAAACATGAGGCTAGCGTTCTCAAGGCCTTCACTGTCTTGTCTGATTTTCCCAGGATTCATAATGAAGGTGGACCTAATCAGTTTCCATATTTTTGGTATGTATCCCAAAGCCAAACTTGCCCTGAGTATTATACACAGACTTTAATTTCCTCTAAATTTACCATCTTCTTTGCCACCAGCCAACTAATCTTTCTGGACGCCCTTTTCAGGTGCTGAACCAGGAAAGTGCACCTGGAGAAGCTCTCCTATAGTCTCTCCTCCTGTTTTTGTGTACTCCTCGGTGTTTGTTCTTAGACCATTCTTAGACCTGAGTATCTTAAATCAGTTCGACCTCCTCGCACTGTCTCCTTCCTAAGATTCTCTTGGATTTCATAGGACTTCTTTTTTTTCAGTTGAAGACCTTTTATATTGATCCCATACTCCTGATTTTCTTGTGTTATCAAAGGCTGTTCTAATTAATTGTTTCATGCGTGTCTGCTCTTTATTCCACCAAGAGACATTTCTGTTAAATTTCCGATTAACTATGGGACAATGTTCATTGTCTACCTAATTTTGTTAACCTATGCTCATATATTTTCTTAGAAAAGGTGTATCTTGTTCGCACTAAATTCCAGATTGGTCAATCCCGCCAAAAGTTATTCGCCCTCTCTGCTAACAGAGGTAACAAGTAACTTATGGCGAGAATGAAATAGGACCAGTGGGTAAGTGATGTGTATCAAAATGGTATTCTCTGCTAGTATTTAAAAATTTCGACTTTAATTCACTCAAAATGTTCATTGTCTACCTAATTTTGTTAACCTATGCTCATATATTTTCTTAGAAAAGGTGTATCTTGTTCGCACTAATCTTATTCCAGATTGGTCAATCCCGCCAAAAGTTATTCGCCCTCTCTGCTCGAACAGAGGTAACAAGTAACTTATGGCGAGAATGAAATAGGACCACTGGGTAAGTGATGTGTATCAAAATAGTATTCTCTGCTAGTATTTAAAAATTTCGACTTTAATTCACTCAAGGTTACCCATAGAGAAAAAAAATCTGATAAATATTTGCAGTGCCATGGTAACGCGTGACGAAATACGAGTTTCATTGGTCGAGAACTGTTATTGTGAAATTTCCATTATAGGTTTTTCATGGATTCTTCCCTTTTCCTTGAATCAGTGATCTCTGTATTGATAATATAAATTTTTGAGTGTATTGATTATCAGTTCAAAATTGTTATAGTTGAAACAATATATTAATGATATTTACATCTTTGAAAGTGTCAATCGCTCTCTGTTATATTACAAAAATCTCGTCTAATATGTTTCACACTACGAAGATCAATTTCTCAAAGATTCAACATTTTTAGTAAGTCGTATGATTTCACAGCAGTAAATAACGGAAAATTTTCTTTCTTGTATAAAAAAATATTTGGTTTTCTACTTCTCCATCATTATACAAAAATGTGAGAAACTTCTAAATGAAGTCTTTTAAATAAGATGTGCGGATCATGCACAAGTTTCTTTTAGATACAAGCTGGAAAAAATCTCATCCGAAACAACTAATAAAACAAAATTCTACTCACACCGAAATCTTTCCCTAAGTCTAATTTGAAGTTTCGGATGTCTTCATCCTCATCAGCACCTTTTTAGATAACTTCAAAAGACGAAACTCATTTCCTCTAAAAAATTACGACTTTATGTCACCAGAAGAGAAACATTTTTTGTCCCAATGACAGTTTGCGAATATATGTATTAACACCTGTGCATGATCTACAGATCTGTGTGAAGATCTCTTCCTACCCGGAAGATTCTTTTGTATAACGATAGAGAAGTAGAAGGCCAAAAAGCTTTTTCTTAAAAACTCTCTCCTGAAAATATTCAATTTTGAATTTTCTTCTTGTGATAGGATGAACTATAAATTCAATGCGTTTCTTCATTTCAGTTTGATCTGATGTTATCCGAAGATGGCAGTGGTCGAGGAGCTGCTCTGGTTGCAGCAGTGGCTGCAAGACTACAAAAAGAAAAGCAAGCCGTTCAAACATAACAGCAGTTACTTAATTTCAAAATGAATTTGTATAGGTTAAATTATTATTTGAAAGAGCTACTGGCTTTAAATACTATTTACTCATAGTTCAATGTTTTGGGTTCTTATAGACTGTATTTAGATATCTAAAATAATTTTATTTCAACCATCACTATATGACTCAAAATAATTCCAAAGTTGCAGTTGATTCCTGTTTAGTTACATCTTTGATATTGAATATTTTTATAACACTTGAGCTGTTACTTTGTATACCAAATTGTTTTAGCAGAAATTTAGCGAAAGTTTATTTTGTTATGTTGTTGTAAGTAGAATGTGATCTTAATCAGTTGTCTTCAATACTCTAGGACAATAGTTCATTTTCGTAGCTTGTGAAATTGTTATAATGATAAAAATTTGATTTCTATGACTGCTACCAAGATCATTTTGTTTGTACATATTTGTACATTGATTTTATTACTGAAGTACTAAATGTTCAGGTACTTAAAATATAATTGTCATTGTTTTTATACAAAGGCGGTGATTTATTTTAAAATAAATATAAATGAAATTGTAAAATATGGAAATATATGTCACTCACTTATTGTGTATTTAATTTTGTGGAATATTTACTAATTTGCTCCCAAATCTGTTTTACCGTTAACCAGCTACGAACTCTCAAAAGTCGAAACCCGTGCGAGCTAAGGACTAACGAGGTCTTACCTTTTAACGTGTGATTCCTAGCACAGGTTGGACTATAGAACCACCGGTATACACAGCGTTCGATTGAGTGGAGCAAACTACCCTCGTCAACCCAACCAGCTATCGTCCCACCTAAAATGGGATTATAGATTCTAATTACTTCATAATGACTTATTTAAGTCATGAATTTTTTGAAACACAGTCATCTGTAGACCAATGTATTTAAGGAGGAAGTCCTATGGAGAACTAAATATGTTTTTTTCTATAAAACAAGTTTTTATCAATTTATAGTAGGCTTTGTTTGAGGTGAAAGAATCAAAACTTTCTATGTATTCGTAACTAACTTTACTGCAGTTTCACCCTACAAGGATATTTTCAAATGTCTATTGTATTCGTTACAAAATGCCCTTGGAAAATGTCCTTGTAGGACAAAACTGCAGTAAAGTTAGTTACGAATACAAGTGGTAAAAAAACACAGTTTTAATTCTCATTTTTCATGAATTTCAATATGCTTGAAAATTGTAAATTTTCATGGCCGTATATAATTGTTTCAATGCTATTTTCCACAAGTACAAAATTCAGAATAAGGTACTAGATGATATATTTATTTGATCAAATGGGTGCAAGGTACAAAGTTTTCTATAAAATAAAATAAGCAGTAAAAATTTGTAATAAGTTTACAGGGTACATTATAACATATTAACAAATTAAGTGTGGAGGTTCGTCGAGTATCTTTTTTGCGTCAAAAGTGTGTCTACGCACATGTTCTAAATATTCTGAAGTGGAATAAAAACAGTTTTATTTATAACCTTTTTAAAACAAAACGTATTCATATTTTAAATATTGGCAGGAAGTGCATTACACAATTTAAAATCATAGGAGTTTTTTTGTGATTTCATCAGCCTGAAACGCTGAGGTCCAATAAAATTGCTGTTTACGTGTATCATGATTGTGTTAACTGGATTGCTTGGGAAACAAGGGGGCCCTTTTGTGAATATCTAATAGGCTTGAGTAAACATACAAAGAAGGCACCGGCATAATTTCATGAGTGATGAATGATTCACGGCAAGAGTATATGAGGAGACGATAGAACAAATTCATAAACACAGAGACAAATTCAAATATCAGTATTCAGTTAGGTGAATATTCGCATATTTGAAAATACTTGGTAGGATGGTAGCCTGGTGGGTTGACGTGGGTGGTCAGTTCCACTCAGTCAATCAACCGCTGTGCGAACCGCAAGGCCGGACGATCAATTTTCACTTTCTATCGTCCAACCCGTGTTAGGAATCAGACGTTAAAAGTAAGATCTCGTTAGTCCTTAGCTTGAACAAGTTTCAACTTCTGAGAATTTTCGTTCATAGGGGGGCGACAGCTGGTTAACGGAAAAACATATTTTAATTAACTTATTTTATTTAATATGTGATTCATTGAAATGGATTGTTAAATTGTCGGTTGTGACAGACTTGCCAAACAATCAGTACAGAATCAGATGCGTTTCCGATAATATAATCAAGTCTAATATCCGTGTAAAAAAGAAAGAGCTCGTCACCATGTTGTAATTCAAGAATGTTCCATAATAAATGGAATAGAATGGATGTGTAACAGTGTGTCACACAAAAATTTCGTATCTTAATAAAGATACGGAGCAAATTTATTCAGTTTGGAGTGATGCTCAAAAACCCAGAAGGTAAATGTGGCAGAACATAATGATGATGCACATTTCTTTAGTTGCACCGATCAAATGTTGTTAGGCAAATTGGATAGCAATGTCTTGACACAATTACAAGTAGCAAAGGTAGCTTCTCAGAAACTTCACTTCGAATAGTAAAATGTTCACATCAGAGCAATTTTTTATGCTTCACGCTTTGGAATATTGATATTGCACGCATAGATGAATATGTGCCTCTATACATTTCCTGAAGTTACTAGATTCCAAACTGCTGTAACTACACACCTCGATTACCTTTAGTTTTTATAAAGTTCGAATTATATCTACTTTAGATATAATTCATACCATACTGCTAAGTCCTAGGAAGCTGAAATTTGGTATGTAGGCGCTTCTTAGTCTTAGATGCGCACTAAGAAAGGATTTTCAAACTTCATCTAGCTTTTCCTAATACGACTAATAACCAGTCCGTGCAAAGCTTATTGTTAAATCATCTGAAAATGGAATTTTTAACAGGTGATGATCGACTGTATTGTCAAACATGCGCCAAACTAACTGACTGTTATAAGGAAACAAGTATAGCTGAGGCTCCAGTCAATCTAATAATAACACTGATGATTTTCAAACAAGACTCAACCTCTAACGGAAGCAAGAAACTCTTTGGAAGGTTCGAAATAGATGAACATTTCAACCTAGCAGACCACTATTATAATATTCATGCAGTCATTGTTCACTGTGGTTCTGGCGTTGAATTTGGTCATTATTACGCCTTGGTCAAAGAAGAAACGGACTGGTTTAAGTTTGACGATAGTCGTGTCACGAAGTGTTCTGGTGATGCATTGAATTTATTGGAGCCTCTGGAGACACCCTACATTTTGTTTTATAAGAGAGAGGACATTGTTAGATCAAGATCTTCAGATGATGTGGTGCTGCAGGTTTTTCCGGGTTTTCCTGCAGCTGAAAAAGCAAATGTGCCACTGGAATCAATGAAGTCGCCCCGGAGCGCCAATTAATTTTTATTGTTGTTTTTATTTTATTTTTATCGTTGTTTTAATAAAATGTTTTCACTAATATAATCATACTTTAGAATATTGCTCACATATTTGAAGTATGCCTTTGATCGCACCCTGAGGCTGATATCTATACTTACACTTAGATGTGAAAGTTATTCACTTAACACTTACTCATTCATCTCTGTTTCTCCATACTGCTGAGTCCTAGGAAGCTGAAATTTGGTATGTAGGTGCTTCTTAGGTCTCAGATGCGCACTAAGAAAGGATTTTCAAATATGTCAACTGGGACGCCCCCCGTGGGGATAAACGGGGCGTGTTCACATATGAAAATAACTTTTTCATCACTGTTTCTCCGTACCGCTATATTTTCAGAAGCTGAATTTTTATATGTAGTTTCGTTTTATGTTGTTGATGTGCAATAGGAAAGGATTTTTGAATATTCCAACTAAGGCACCCCTACTGGGGATGAAAGAGCGCGTTTACACATGAAAATTACCTTTTTATTACAGTTTCTCCGTACCGCTATATTTTCGGAGGCTGAAATTCTGCAGGTAGGTTTGTTTTATGTTGCAGATGTGCAATAAGAAAAGATTTTTGAATATTCTAATTGGGGGGCCAGCCGCAGGGGAAAAAGGGGAGTTCATAAAATAAAGTTACCTTTTCATCAGTTTCTCCCTACCGGTACATTTTCGGATGCTGAAATTTTGTATGTAGGTAGGTTCGTTTTATATTGTAGATGTGCAATAAGTGGGGCGCCAGCCACAGGAAAAAGGCGCGTCCATTGAACAATATCTTTTCATCACTGTTTCTCTATGCTCTTATATTTCCGGTGGGCGAATTTATATTTAGTATCAGAATTGCAGCTGTGCGGAACCGGGGTGGTCGCTAGTAGATTATATCTAGGAACGAGGCTCGTGCCTGACTAAAAACCCAAACATCACAAGCAACCTTGGTAGTCTGGAACATCAAAGGAAGGTTGGGACATGACTTTTTTCTACAAATACTCTCATGAGAAGTGTTTAACACTTACCCAACTTTAGTTCTACGAGAGAGGTATATGTCAAGAGTACATAGCAAACTTTGCTATTATATTGCAAAAACTTGAATACTATAGATTTGGAGGACTTTCTTATCAATGGATAGAATCCTACCGATTGAATTGAGTCAAATAGTGAGAACTAATGAAAAACTCAAGTGTGGGGTTCCACAGGGCTCGGTTCTGGAGTTCTTTTCTTAATTTATGTGAATGATCTAACATCTAACATATATTGATACATTACATTATATGCCGATGACACACCTATCGTCTGGAACAGTACCAATATTGAAGACTTAAAAAAAATGTGTTGAGGAAGATATGAAAAAAGTGTTTAGCTGATGTGAATCGAATCGTCTTTCGTTTAATATTAAAAGACCAATTTACTTGGACTTATGAAACTACACAAATGTGCCATTATGCAACGCTCCCAAGCAATTCCAAAATGAAGAGATCACTATCGGTTGAAAATCCTCAAATCGAATTAGTTATAACAAAAATGATAAGCGCTGAATTGGCGCAGTGATAGCGCGCCCATTTTACTATCGAAAGATCGCAAGTTCGATCCTAACCTTGACAAAAAAAAACAGAATTTTTCCAATTGAAGATGGGATGACTCTGCAACGTTACATGGTTGATGAGAGTGATAAATAGCTATGACATTCCCTAGGTGGCTCGAGGTGTTATCAACATTGCCTATCCAGAACATGAGGCTAATGACCAGGCAGTCGATGCCCCCAAAAAATACTTGAAAATGATAACAGAATTATATGATAATGTTAATGAATTCTAGATTATACTTCCTTGTATCAATGACCTAATTCAATCAACGCCAAAGTGTAAATTAATCGTATTTCTTATATTTCAAATTTATATCAATTGATTTTGAAACCTATAATGAGGTTCTTAATTATGAATCTTCATGTCATCGAAATTCAACATTGTCAGAGAGGTAGAAACAAATGCAGTGGGAGCAATAAAAAGGACAGGGAAGTTTTGCTATATAAGAAATATAAACTTCTTTTGGTGTTGAAATATGTCAAACTCAATAACGATTTGTACAAACACATCTCATTATTAAAATAAGTATGTGTTTATGAAAGATCACACAGATTTTCGGATATCTATGCTTTCCGAAATCAGAGAAAGCCATTAAAGACTTTAAAATTATTTGAGATTTCAACGAAGCTATACAGTTTTATTCAGTGGCAATCAATAATGTGTTTTTCTGTGATAACATATTTTTTACGAGAGCAAATTATGAACTACATGTATGCAACTTTGAGAGATGAAGCTATCAAAAATATAGATCGTTTTTCAATTAAGTAAAACTTGTATAAGGCAACTTCAGGATTGGTAGTTCACGAGTATTGTTCTTCTATTTAAAATAAAACCATATTGAAAATAAATTGAATTTTGGCGACATAAAAGTTGAAATGCTTCCATATAGAAGATGTTTTTTCCAACCAGACACTTTTATACAACTTTCGCCATTATCATTTTTTGATACTGCTACAGTTTTTGTAATTTTCACTTTATATATCTGAAAATATTTCAACATACTTCAATTCGTTTCTCTATCAAATAATATCAATAATGTATAATAGTGTTCAAGACCCCTTCAAGGGACTCATTTCCAAAATATATTTTTTAAACATTATAAAATTACATAATTCACACTTTTGAACATTATCAAATATCTAATTCATTTACCAAAACATTGAAATTTCACGGAAATTCAAATCCATTTTTTTAGTCCAACCAAGCAGCCTTGCAAATAGTTTTAGCAGATCTCCAAATTATTTCATAGCAATTAACCCATAACACCTTGGTGAAACCACAGGATCAAATAGTTGAACCAGAAATGAATTGTCATGTCCCTGCTCATGCAAAAACAAAAGTCTGTCAAGTAGAATTAAACTTTCTATTACTGGCGACAGCATTCCTCGTATTAGATAAAATAAATTGAGCTCATGGATCCTAGCTTCATGTTCTTCATATACTTCATTGATTTCCAGATCTGTTATATCTATTTTCAAATCCAATTTTTTCATTGCTTTATTAACATATTCTGAAAAATCAGAACACTGTTTTCGGAACCGGCCAACTTGTCTCTTTTCTTTTGTCAGAAAACTGCACTTTCTATCAAGCAGCACCTCAAATAAAGCCCTGTAAAATATAGTCCTGTTAGGTAAATCTTTTCCATCCATAATTCTATCAACAGACTGTGCAGCTATCATTCTAGCAGATCTTCCAATTACAAACTTCTTCTGTTTCAGGAATTCACTCATCGGGAAGCCTGTAGAGCATAAATTATCATCTCCTTCATTTTCGAAACTTTCGCTGATAAAATGGTAGCAACAACCTACATTACATATTGTTTTGATTTGTTCATTGGCAGAAAATATTCGTATGGAAGTAGGCGCTAGGTCTCCACAGGTATGCAGACCAACAAGACCTAAACCACATGGTTTTTCTAAGAAGACATCAGTTATCAATTGATCTAAATCAATATCTTCATCTACATATTTAGTTATTTGTTTATACAAATCCTTGGTGGTTTTTCTCGTTTTCTCGTTATCAACTTTCACTACACTGTTCCAAATTTTTGATAACTTTTCTACTCTCTTGACTGCACTGTGGGTGTTGATTACCGAAGCATCTACTCCAAGAATTGGTATTTTATAGTGCAACGCCAACATAGAACTCAAGTAACCTCTCCCATCTCCGATATCAATGAGATGACTTGTCCGAGAAATACTTTTCAAGGCAGCCGACACGCAACTGAGAATATCAACTTCATGAGATTTTTTGGAAGTCATGAAAATATTGAGTCTCAATCTCAGGAATTCCTCACAGCTTAACTCTTTTAAATGATTCAGAAAACTGTTTGTGGTGAAGCAAACTGAGTGAATATTTTTCAGTGTAAACTGTTTCGACTTGTTCACATATTCACACAAGTTGGGCATTTCTTTGTAATCATTTTTGAAAATACTAGAAATCACTTCTTGCTGACCAACTTTCTTTATTTCTTGTTTTATACTATTAGATAAAAAGTTTTCGAATTCATCCTTTGAAAAATAATCCACCATATGAAAATTTGCAAGAGGTAATAGAGGCTCCAAATAACTTATCAAACATTCTATTTGATCCATAACAAACTGACACTTCGAGGTCATATTCAGAATGATAGAGTATCTTTTTCAGAGTAAAGAACATTTACTTTGAGTTGACTACAAATTTTTTTAAATTTTGCTCTTATGATATTTATAGATTCACCCAAATCTATGTGGTCCTCATTTAGTCTTGGATAGTTATCCAATAAACTTTTCAAGCACTTCAAAGAGTTAATAATTTTTTCTGGCCTTGTCTGGGAGTTTTCATAATGTGTCAAAAATGTTTCAGTAATTCCAGTATAGTAACCTATTTCAGCACCTAATTCAGCACCTCTATGATAGCCTAAATGATATCCTTCTGGATTTCCCTGAACAAGTCCTAGTGAAAAGCCCTCCTCATAAGCTTCTTCTATCACATTTTCTTCAGATAAAAATATGTCACTGAAAACATCATTAATATCTTTTTCTAAAATACAAGGAGATAAATTTAATATGTGAAATGCATGAAAATACACAAATTACCTTTTTTATCTACCTGCATTTTCAATTAGTTGGAGTAAATATTGTTTTGATATAAATTATACCCTAATCTAGCGCCCCAGTCACAGTATACAGAAATACTGTGCCACTGTGCCCCAGTTATGAAATGAAATGCGTTTTTCTTCTTCTTCTCTTCGTTTCTTGGTGTGTAAAGTCACTGATATATACCAGCTCTCCCCATTTTACAAGATACCTGTTGCATAAGTTATGGGCTTTGTCAGGTAGATGCACTGGTCTCGCTCACAGCGATATTTCATCCAATAGTATTCTGCACTATTTGATCTTTTTCGTTTCGCATATAAATGTGTAAGATATTGGATATTCTGGATTGACGTAATTGTGATAAAAGAGGTTAGTACCAATAAAAATCATATTACAGGTGAGGATGAATTGTAGTACATAGATGGATGATATATTTAGGGTGAGAGGTATTTGCAGACATTTATCTTCATGAGTTGATCTGATTATGGATTTGAAATCTATCGATTTGAATTCCTTAATGTTGTTAGTTATAGGAATTAGTTATAGCTGTATAGTACAATTCCATAATAATAGACATTGAATTCTCAGAAATATTATTGCATTAAAACGAAACCATTGTTTCAAGGTTGTGATTCTATAATATGTATTATCATTTTTTCTTATGTGTTCAGTATAAGTAAAAACGTCAGTCATTTCTGAAAATTTGGTGCCTACTATTTTGGAATTATAGACAGACACCGCTTTTAGAGCCCCTTAAGGATTTTCCTGCAGTGGCCAAAAGTGATCAAAAGTGCCCACTTGTCATTTTCTTCTTCTTATTTGTGAATCGCAGTTTCCTATAGATCATATCAGTTAGGTTAGGATTTTTTGAGCGCGAAATTCGAACTCAGGTCCATGTAAATCTTATGGGACTAAAAATTCTTCGACTTTGTCGCCTTTTTCAAGTATTCAATCTTATTCCTTAGAACTGATTTTACATAAAAAAGATGAAATGGAGTTTCCTTTACCTGTTTGATACAAAATAATTGAAAAATATGGGTAATTTTCTATGAATTTGTCAATATAAAAATGCATGGCAAAATTCATGGAACGCATGTCTTAGATTGAAGAGTGGTATATTACTGGTGGCGCAACAAAGCGGGATATTTAAAATTCACGTGTTAATACCGACAAAGTTGAGCTGGAAAAATGTTATTTTGAAAACCTGAAAATGGTGCATTGTTTTGCTCTTAGATATAACCATAGGTATACAAGCAATTGCAATATGTTTGCAATTCCAAGGAATGAAAAATAAACAAAAATATATAAAAATACTAATAACTCTCATGAAGTTGAGAATGAATTTTCCTCACTTAGATATCTTGCCACTCGATTTATTTGCAGACCAACAACTATTACAAATATTTTTTTACTTGGGTTTTCCTTATACATAAAACACTTTACAGTGAGTTCATGACGAGTAGGGCTCCATGTCAAACAAATAGTTCCCCAATCCTAACAGAATGTTGTATATTTTTGAAATCCTGTGGAAAATTATTGTAGAACTCGAGGGTGTTGTACTGTGGACTTGTAACAACATTTTTTTTATTGGGTGGTTAAAATTAATTGGTGGTGTGCTCATGGATTACTTTCAAACTGTTTAAAACTACTCATCATGTATGATGAGAAACCTAATGTTCTCTTAAATATATACTTGTAGTAATTGTTAGCTTATAGAATTCCAAGCAACCAAATAGTATGCTCTTTTAACTTTACTTGTTCTCAATTGGTGATTTGAATGGTTTTATTTGTGCATTGTACCTGATCAAAATCTAATTTATAGGATGAAAACAAGAGAAAACAGTGAATGAATGCTGTCAGGAAATATTTGCTTGATGGTACTTTCATTTGCTCAAAGCACTTTCCCATCTATTTCATTGGTGAGAAAAAGCTATTGAAGGGTGCCAAACCTTCATGCATGTGAGTATTAAGTTTCTACAGCACTATCTATAAATCCTATCAAAGATTTGTATATTTTTTTAAGGTGCACTTATAGAGAAGTACTTAATTGTACGAATTTCAAGAAAACGTGCACCATTTCCATAATCAGTTTTCTAATAATTTCTGTAGTTGGAAAGTATCCGTTGAATGGGGTATCAAAAGCAAATGTGACCACATACAAATCAAGAGAGAACACTTGGTATCAAAATGATAAATATCAAATTATTCATATATGAAATGATAAATAACCTTTATTTAATTGAATCATGTTGAAAAAGGGACATGTTAAAAATTGTCTGAATGTGTGGAGTTTAGTTATGAAATTTCATATTACTTTTCATTTCAATGATCGCAACTGCTGTTTTGTTCAATATTTTACGTCATATTTGCTCTTCATACTTTTCATAAAAATACATCATTATTCAATATGGGTTAATAAGGCTAATAAGTGCTAATATCATTCTATAAATAAAAGGTGTTAAGTGAAAGAACATTTTCTACAAATGCCTGTTTCACAGAAAATTAACTTCATTAACTTCACCCTGTATTTCCTAATATTTTATATTTCTCAATATCTGTGTGAGCGTACTGCTTACACATGGAAATTATAAATATGGTATTATTCTTATAAACAGTCTCTTCTGAGAACATATTCAGAAAGAGGTGTATATTTTAGAGCTTTCTTGTGAGACAGTTGTAATGAAATGCCCAGTAGGCATTAAAAAAAATCAATAGAAAAGTTGCCATCGAAACAAGGGTTATATTTAGGTATACATGCTAGGAATCGCACCTTAAAAGGTAAGATTTCGTTAATCCCTGTTCGCAGAAGTTTCGATTTCTGAGGGCTGCCAATTTTAACCAGTACCATTTTAGTTTTTATCCATGTTTATTTAAAGGGATCTCAATTTATTCATTTGTATATATAGGTGAATCCCAATTTTTGTTTACAATAAATTATATAACAAAGAAAGCTTGTACTGTAGGTACCACTTATACTTCTCCTATAATTATTATAGACACATTTATGTGTGTTTACTGAAGGACAATCAAAGTAATGAAAAACATTTACATTACAAGAGTGAGATTCTTGAAAATATTTTCATAATCACAGAAGAAACTGATTTTATCACAGTAGTTATTTTCAAGTCTCAACATTTCAGACAAAGGAGAATGATAACCATAGTTAGTTATGTGATATGGTGTAATAAATAGCTTTATTTGTCTAATGGACCTCCGTGGAATATTGAAAGTTATAAGGAAGAGAATATCTGGAGAAACAATGAAAACAGATATAATTTTGAATAGATAAACTAATGATTTAGTGTAACTTCGATATTGAAATCTGCATGAAATATTTCTAAAATGAAGTTGAATGTATGAACCCATCCTGTCTAATTTCGTAATAGTTAGTTTCCTGGCTTTGCCCTGATCATTTTCGGTAAACATATTTGACTGCAACTGAGACAATCATATTCAGTCGCGTTGATGAAGTAATCTTTCAAGAAGNTCACATATCCATAACAATTCCAATCAACTTTGTTGATATCATTTTCAGCATTTTTGGGATGATGAGAGCTGCAGGTGGATGCAATACTCATCCCAAGTCAATTCAAGTTGGACAAATATTCCGCCTAATGTCCCTCTATTCTCTGATAAAACCGCCCAGGGAAAGTAATGTTACTGGAGGAGAAATGATGAAATCCCTTCTTCATATTGGAGATCTGAAAGAAAAAAAGCAAAAATTTATTTTCTATATTGAAATAGAAGAAAATATCTCCGAAATTGAAGATGGCTTCTCAGATATTGATGAAGCTTTTGCTTATTTCTGTGGATATGTCGCAAAAAAAAAAATTAAAAGCACCACCAAATTTGGAGAATGTGTAGTTTCGATATTGGGGAAGGAAAATGGAATGTTTAATTCCCTCATAAGAAACAAGAGCAGGGGATTTTTAACATTTCCATCACAAAAAATTATTAGCTCTCTTCATGATGTTGAAGCCACAATATCAGTGTTTTTGAGAGGGAACTTACAAGAAATTGCCTTTAAGTAATTTTAGGCAGCTTGTCAAATTTTTCTCCCAAAAATAGTGTAGGTTGTGAATACCACAAGGAAGAATTGTCAAAAGAGGCACTGAGGGCATATTTAATCTCTAGATTGAGTATCTGCTGTGCTAAAGAGCATAATGTAAGAGCCCTCGAAAATAAATCAAAATATTTTTCTCAAATGGCTAAATTGTATTGAAGTTAAACTTTTTTAAAGTTTATCTCTTAGTAATCTTATGAAATTATTGCCTATTTATAATACCCAAATGCCAAATGCCGGGTATTTGTTGAATTCCATAATATCCTCGTGAATTACAACAAGCATATTTTACTTGCACTGCATAGTTTGGAACGGAGTTTATCCCAATACCAAAGTGCTATAAAAATACAATTTTTCTATGAGTCAAATTTCGAAAAATATAACTGAATATTTTCAAAAAACTACCTGTTCTGCTCTGTTCCTGTTTAAAATCTGTTTTTCCGTTAATCAGCTGTCGCCCCCATATGAACGACAACTTTCAGAAGTTGAGAAACTTGTGCGAGCTAAGGACTAACGAGGTCTTACCTTTCAACGTGTGATTCCTGACACGGTATATCATAATTGATGGTCACATCGTTTGAAAAAAAGAACTCTTTTACAAACTCAATGTAAAAGATTGTAGTACGCTATTAAAGTATATCAGAAGACATTTTGTATTTGTATTCTAAAAGAATACTATTTTTATCACATCTCTTTCCAAGGTCACGTTCTAACAATAAACGGCAAAGCTTTGGAATTCACTGCCTCAGAAGATGTTCCTTTAGGCTTACAGTCTGCAGAAATTCAACCATGGTGTTCTCTGAACATTACGGTATTTTACTTTTCGTGGGAACTTGAATGATATAAAAGAAATCCTATCACAAGGAAACTGAAAGTTAATTTACCACTGGTAAGGAGATTATATACCATTTCACCTCATATCGATAAAAAACTAACTTAACTTTTGAACGGTTTGACGTAGAAACATGAAAAAAACGTTTGGGGGCTATCACCGATACTATTTTTGGAAATAAAACACATTGTGATTGCTCGATAGATGGCT